ACTGAGAGGCATTGGCAAAGATGATGGGATGCAAAAATAGAAGAACACACATTACACATGGAAAGGATGTTGGGCAGAAGGTATTTCTATGGGCAGCCCTTCCTCTTGAAGAAATCAGAGGGCAAGAAGCCCAGGTGAAGACATTGATGTAATATGGTCTGGAGCCTGAAGACATGCTGGTCATGGGAGAATACTTCGAAAAAAGCTCCACTAAGGGATTAAGGCTGGAGGGGAGGGCCTTAGCTGAGGGCAAACAGGGAAAGCATGTGCTTTTACACGGCCATGGCCTTGAAGAGGTGGGGAAGATCAGCTAGTGGAGTCGAGATGGGGAAAAAAGAGCAGTTGTTGCCTCCACGCAAACAGTGGGAAAGCAAAGGAGAGGAGCGGGACCCAGACCGCGGGACGGGTGCCGGCAGCGCGGAGCCGGGACAGGGAGGAGCAGGCGGCGCTGCCGGCGGTGGCAGGGCAGGAGGAGCGGAGCGCCCCCCGGGAGACGCTCCCTGCCCCGGCAGATGCTCCCAGCCCGTCCTAGGACTGTCTCTCCCTTCCCCGTCACCTCCGGGGCCTTTCCGCCCCCTCTCCCGCCGGCAGGGTCCCTGGCAGCCCCGGTGCCAGCGCTGCCGCGGGTCCGTCCGGGCACTGGCACCTGCTCTGCCCCTTCCCCGCGGGCTCGGCTGCGCCCCTGCCGCTCTGCAGGGCGAGCGCTGCCCCGGCCCGGGCCGGCCCCGGCAGCGGAGCAAAGACGGGAACCACCCAAAACAGGAGCCCTGCGGAGCCTCCTGCGCCCACCCGCCACAGCCGCCCCGTGCGGGCGGGCTCTCAGGCGGCCGAGGATGGGAGGCTGGGAAAGACCGGGGATAGAGAAGGAGGTTGCCCGAGACAGCAGCTCCGGTCCCGCTCGGGTCGGGTCGGGTCCCTCCCCGCGGGCCGGCCCGTGAGTGGAAAGTTTCCCCGGAGTGACCTCTCATAGTACGCGCCCGCTAGGAAATCTCATTCAAGTATTTTTGTCAATGGGGTGGGGGGGGCATCCTGCTCCCCGGCCCCCGGCCCGGCTGACGTCACTGCAGAGGCGATAAATATCTGTTGATATAATTGGACGTGAGATTTGGGGTTGCGATAGCGAAACTCGGCCCATCGCCGCTCCGACGGGCCCCCATGATTTATTCAGCAGTAGATCGGGGCACGCAATCGGGCTGTCAGGAGAGCGTCAGCTTATTAGGCAAGTTCTGCGTGATTCCAGGAGAGGGTCTAAGCTATAAAAATCCCGCACCCCGGCTCTGATTAGTACCAAATCTGATCCTAAGTTCGCCAGGAGCCGGCTCCGAGGGAGAGCGAGAGGAAGGGACGCCGGGCACCGCCGAGTCCCGCCGCCGCCCGCCCTGCCCTACCGCCGCCACCGCCGCCCCAGGTAGGTGCGGAGCCGCGCCCGGGCGCGCAGCGGATGCGCTGCCCTGCGCTGAGCGGGGCTGAGCGCGGCGTCCCCCGGGATACGGGGAACTGTCCTGGCCGGGCAGGGCAGGTGAGGAACGGGCGCTCGAACCCCACAGCTCGCGGGAAAAGCCGCCCCGCCACAGGCACCCCACGTTCCCCCTCGCCCTGGGTGGTGAAGAGGCGCGGGTCGCGCACACGCGTGGGCTCTCCGCAGGGGCTCAGCCCAGCCTTGCTCCCCGGGAGCCGCTGCCGGCGCAGCCCGCAGCCGCCCTGCGGGACTGTTCTGCCGGGTTGTTCTGCGGGGAGCGGCCGCCTCGACGGCGCGGGGGAATGGGCCGGGGTGAGCGGGGCCAGGGGTGGTGTGCGGAGCGCGGAGGGGAGCGGAGGGGAGCGGAGGGGAGCGGAGCTTTGCCTTTCAGCACTGGGACAGCGGCGGCGGGGACGCCCCCTCCCCGGCAGCGCACTGCCCTCCCCGCCGCCGCGGCTCGGCTTTGTAACCCAACCCCCGTCCCCCGTCTGCCCCGCAGGTTTGGGCCCCGATCATGAAGATCCCGCTGCTGGTCTCCACGGGAATCCTGCTGGTGGCCCTCCTGCCCTGCCAGGAGTGCAGAGCTCTCAGCAAGAGCCCGGCATCCGCCCCTGGGGCTCTGCACCAGCCAGATTTCTTCCAGCAGCAGCAACAGCAGCAGCAGCATCAGCAAACTCTGCCCGTCCTGCTCCGCATGGGAGAAGAGTATTTCCTGCGCCTGGGCAACCTTCACAAGAGACCCATTGGCTCTTTCTCCGCCTCCTCCAGCAGCACCAGCCACCTACAGCCCGAAGCCTCCGCCAGCAACTTTTTCCGGGCGGCGGTTCAACAGCTGCAGCAGCTGCCCGAGCGCTCGCCGGGGAACCGAGAGGACGGCGAAGCCGAGGGTGAGGCCGTGGAGAGGGAGAAACGATCCGAGGAGCCCCCTATTTCTCTGGATCTGACTTTCCACCTCCTGCGAGAAGTCTTGGAGATGGCCCGAGCCGAGCAGTTAGCGCAGCAAGCTCACAGCAACAGGAAACTGATGGAGATAATCGGGAAGTGAAACGGCCCCTCCCCGCCTTGCCAAAGAGATTCCGCAGTTAGCACAAGAATAATTACACCGTCCGATGTACCATAGTGCTGCTCTGATGTCATCTCTTTATTTTTATATAGCTTTAAACCTAGAAGGGCGTACTCCGAACAGCCTCTGTCCCTTGACTAGCATGCACAACCGTGTACCAAGTGCAAAAACACGAGTGTCGTTCGTAACCTCCCCTACCTTTATTTATTTCTCCATTTCCCAGTTATTCTAGTGCCATCGCTACGTAGGGATGTGTGAGCATTGGAAGAAATGGTGCCAAGAAGACAGAAAACTTTTTTGCTGGGGGCAGGGAGGTGGGAGGGGGAATCTCTGTAAGCTACTTTCAATCCACTTTTTTTTCCTGTAAACATTTTCACAATAAAACATCTTTTCAGCGCTCGGTCGATTTGGTTGTGTAAGAGAATGTTTAATATTTATATTTTTAATAAAAGCTGCAAAGTAAATATGACTTGATAGACTTTCTTGCCTAGACACCTGAGGGCTTCTCCGCCTCCCTCAGCGCTTACCGGAGGGGGGGGGGGAACACCCTCGGCCATGGACACCCAGGGCTGCGGGGAGCCCTGTATCTCCCCCGGGGATGTTTCCATCCCGCCCCGGGGAGCCCCGTCCCCGCGGGCTCTCCCACAGGCGCTCCCCGACGCCGTCGGCCCCGGACGGGGCTGCCCCCGCCGCCACCCCCGGGCAGGCTGCTCCCGGGAACGGGGTGTCGAGGGGTGCCTCGGAGCTGCCGAATGCCACCTCTGCAGCCCCCCGAGGGGGCTCCCTGGCTCCTGCCTCTGTGGCCGGCATCGGGCAGCCACCTCCCACCGGGGAGCAGCGATGGGAAGGCGGTGAGGCGCTCCCGCATCTCTTTTGCGTTTTCGCATCCTTCCCGCACCCCTAAAGGACAGGTTCCTCCCTGCTTCGGCTTCCCCCGTCCCGACTGCGGTGCTCAAGCGGGATCCCTCTCAGGGGCTACTAGGGAGGCTGCAGTGGGTGTGGAGAAACTTCCCGGGAGAAGCTGGGGGAAATCTCCAGGACGACTGAGAGAAAATAGTAAATCCCTCACCCCGAACCAAATCCCAGGGAAAAGCTGCTCCAGCAACCGGAGGCGATGCGGTGGCGGTGCTGGGCGGCGCTCGCTCTCGGCTGTGAGAGTTCCAAAGCTTTGCGCGGAGCTCGCCTGTGCAGCCCTCCAAAACTCTCTCAGCGGAGTTTTCCAGGGAACGCTCTCCAGGGAAAGCAGATACCAGCGAGGGTTGATGTCACTCGGGCCGATAGCAACCGGTGTCCAGACAGGGGCTGACCCCACGCAGCCTGCTAACCAGTCTGCACTGCCAGCTCACCAGTCCTGCTGGGGCACAGTGCAGCCTGATGGCCCCACACAGGCCCCTGCCAAAACACTGCGCTAAGGGCCTGGCTCGGGGATTTGGGAAAGATCCACACGTAACCCTAGTGCAGAGCTTGACACCTGGTCCCCTATGGCACCAAGCGCTCCCGGCAGCCTGCCAATCTCTCTTAAACACTACTGAGTGTTGACACCCTACTCCCAGTGACAAAAATCAGAGTGCTGCCTTCACTGCAACTTGTAGAGCCTCTTTTAAGACACAAATTTGATTTCATTTGATGGCTCAACATCTGCAATGAACACAGAACAGGACAGTCAGCATCCGCCTTTTCTACAGCACAGCACAGGGGCTCGAAATGAAACCTTGAGTGAGCACCTGTGACCACCTTATTGCACTCTGGTTTCATGTAAGAACATGTCCCCTTTTGCACAAACACTGATGGCTGAGAAGACACAGACACAGGTTACAGCTGGACAGACTGGGCAGCACTTCAGCAACTGCCCCACATATTCAGAGCTGTGTGGGGATCTTGGCCAGTGCTTTTCATACGTGCATCTTCCTCACTCCTGCCACTGGGGCTCTTCCTTACAAATAATGTGTTTCTGCAAGCGTCATCTGTTGTGGTTTAGTAGGAAGAGCAAGTGCAAAGGAAGGAATGGCAGCTTCCTTCTTGCGTCCCGTGTTCAGCCTCCGCAGCCTGGGAGGCACCAGTACTGTTAGACACAACCCTGACTTGGGGCTGCCAAGGACATGATAGTGTCACTGAACTCACCAGCACTGACAAGCGGGCACACAGGAGGATACTGAGGAGAAACACTGTTTTGGCAAAGGATGCTACTAGAGAATATCATACCAGCATTTTAGATAAGAACATTGGTGAAGTGTTTACACCTACGTGGGGACGTGCCATCAAGTGAGTTATAAAACACTAACAGTGCTCAGCCTAAAGCTGTGGTGATGCTTCTTCCTCCTTGGAATCAAGAAATTATTGGAAAACACTCTGACTACAATACATACAGTAATCTGTCCCCATGCTCCCCTCCCTCTCAGGTCTGTCAATTCAAGGGTATGATGTGGAGGTCAGCTGAGTTCCTAGGAATGGAACCTGCTCGGATGTCCCTTCCCAGGCCAGTTTCTTTGCTGACTGCAGGCAGGCTGCCTGCACTCACGGTCCTTCTGAGGAGAAGCACACCAGAAGCCAGCCAGAGTGAGTCATCATTCATTCAGTGAGTTCAACCAGGAGAAGGAGAAGACATGACGAGCCGGCTCGTCACCCCTCTCACTGCTCACGGGAGCTTCCTCCACTTGTCCTTGAGGGTGTGGTTCAGAACCAGGCTGCAAAGGAAGGAAAGGTTGATAAATGGAAGAGGAAAATATAATTGCATAAAAATCCGTAAGACTTCACAACATGCAGGGACACAGAATGAAGTGGGAAAGAAAGGAAAAGGCAAGGAGCTAGGAAATTCGGGAAGGTAAGACAAGACTTCTAACACCAAAGAAGTCAGAGGGACTTCTGCATCTACCAGTGTCTGAGGAAGGATTAGGCTGGGTGAGCGTGTCGCATCTGTGCAAAGGGCTTAGTCCTGATTTGGACCTCTGGAATATTATTGCACTGAAGGTGATAAATGCCTGTTCAGAAGTGATCCTGAGCCAGCTTGGCTTGTGTAGCTGGGCCTCCAGATTGATGTGAACCAGAGCCAAATGTTATTGCCAGTGCATTGCCACTCAAAATGATACTCGTTCTGCTGTTATGAAATCTGCCTTGGAAGTGTTTTCTTTTTTTTTTCCTTTTAAGTCTTCTAATATTTATTTCACTTCAATTTAACTCAGATAATACAGAGATACAAACTTCAGTTTATATCCCTCTCTTTTTTTTTGCATAGGTATCCTACACTTACAGTAGAAAAAGGAATCTGGACATGTATACTTGAGCTGCTAATAAAAGGAATTTCTAAAATTAGTTGATATTTAACAGACCAGTGCAATAGGCAGAAATATTTTACTTGTTCCAGATCCATTTGGCAAAGAATGAAGACTGCTTTGTGATAGGATCAGAAACCCTATTAAAGATAAAATGTATTAAAATTGTTGATTTGCTAGCTAAGGGAAGCCTTGTGTCTTCATCATTAAAACTACAATTTAACTTGAGATATACGGGATTTTTTTCCCTTTGTATTTCTAGATGCACACATACATTATTGTACATTGCTAAAATTAAACCAGCCATGCTGCCAATGTTCTTTGTGCAGAAACCTCAGCATGATCTCAGGTGAGCTATTTGATGTCATACAACTCAATAGAGGGCAAATAACAAAGTAGTATCCTCTGAATTCCAACATCTCAATCATTTATAGAATTTTCCTAAAACAGAAAGTTACTAAAGCAGTGTTGCTAATAGACACATCCAGCAACAAACATTGAAGCAGGGATGCTTGTGATGAACTGAAGCATGGGATGGATGATTTTCTTAAGCATTTTTGTAAGTACTTACTGTTTTAAAGTGTACTACAAGAATAAGTAAGAACTAGTGGCGTGTTAAGTATTAATTGACTATTGGGCTTCATTCCAGTTACTACCTATTTAATTGTCACCAACAAACAAGGCAGCATGAAGGTATGAAAGGAAATAGATCACTGTTTTTTTATTTTTATCTAATTAGAATTCACAGTGTCATTTTTATCAAGATCCTTGATTGGTCTTGAAACAGCCTTATTAATTGAAACAGCTCTATTAATTTCAATGAAATATCTGAGAAACTGCTTTACTATTTGAAATGTGGACCAGTCTTTGACTTAGATTCATATTTTGAAAGCAAGGTAGTCATTGCTACTTACTGCAAAACCCAAACAGGGATCTTGCAGATCAAAATAGCTTTTGCTTGCTAACTTTATAATGTATTTTACTGAAACTACAAGCATGGTGAAAACATGGGAGAAACAGCTGCCTACTTGAATGCAAAAGCCCATTTCCAGCAATGTTGGTGAGAAGAGCTGTCTCCCAGACTCATGCAAAAGTATGGTAAAGAATTTGGCCCAGGGGGCCGGATCTTCAGCTGAAAGGCAGGTAGCTAATTGAGGCCTGATTATAGAAGATTTGCCTCTCAGCCCTGGAAAGCGCTGATTTCAAATCTTTCAACCTGATTACAGTCAATACACAGCTAGACTTTCTGAGTTATAAGGCCTTTGGCTCTCTCTTGATCTTGGTAGATGCACGAGTGTATGTGGTTTATTAGTATTTTGTGATGCTGAAAATTTTACCTTTATTTTTGAAGGGCAGTCAGAGTGCCTGGACTAGCTAAGATTAATTTTGAAACTAGTTGTACAATTTTATGTACCAAGCCCTCAGCAGTGTGTGTAAGCAGGCATGGGATAACCCTCCTCACTTCTCACCCTGTAAAGGAATAGGACTGGCAAGAGGTCTAGAGGTTTAAAACACAATTCCTGCCTTTTTTTTTTTTTTTCCTTTAACCTACACTGGTACTTTGCCACTTCTCTGTTTCTCTTCCTGAGCAAGGAAGGCTTCCTGCCCTTAGCACTTCCAGGTGCTATTCTAACCAGCTACTATCCAAAAATTTGCATTAAATCAAGATAAACTTCGAAGCAAAGAACTATCTACTAGTTTAATGTTACGCTGTGCTTTATAGGATTTGGACCCAATACATAAGAAGAAAGCAAAGTGCAATGACTTAGACTGGCAAGCTGACTGCATTACCCTGTTAACCAGTGCTGCTGGTACTGCATTTCAAGCAAAACAATCTTTGTCTGCATCACTGCCAAAACTGTATTTCATAATGTGTTAACTCCTTCATATTTTGCTGCGATGACATCTTCCTGTGTCAGCAAAACAATGTTGGAACTGCAGCACATTCCCACTGGGTTTGGCTGGATGAAGCATTTGCTCCCTGCACCTTGCCGGACTCAGCAGGCTGCTAGTCTGCAATACCTCGATGTGCCTTTCCAAGACCAATCATTTTCCATCACACCCAGCCAGGAGTGAAGCAAGCACAAAACTGACAGTAGGGCCATTACTTGGCTTTTAGGCTTGTGTTTTCACACCTGTGGCACTTCACTGTTTGTCTCTGAATCATACAGTGACTGAGGTATGCTCTCTTTGTGTGAAACAAGGTGCAAGCAACTTTGTCCATATTATTAAGTCCATTCTTCCCTTCCGACAGCAGCCCACACATCTCAGAGTTACACGGTGTGCTGGAATTGTCCAAGACAAAGATTTCAGCTGTAGATTTTAGAGAAAAAGACCTGTTTTGAACCAGGCTGTGACTGAGAAAGACAGAATGCAGAAGAAGGTCACTGGGATTAAATACTTGACCACTCTGTAGGTCCTTGTAATCTCACGCTGGATTATCTTGCTCTCCCTGTTACTGCAACCCTACTGGGCTCCCAGAGGAAAGCTCAGTGCTGAGCATGGCACAGCCCTTGCCATATGCCTTTAGGACAGTCCAGATTCAACACTTCATTGTGTCAGTCCATTGCTGTTAGGTAACTTGTCAAGCTTCTACCTGAGTTTTATCTTTGCCTTGGAGATCTCGTGGGTAGGAGTTGTTTTTCACATTACCTAGAATAACAAGTCCCAACCCTCTGGGTCCCTAAAAGTAATAAGGAATAACTAAAGTGTTTACCTCAGATTACATTAATCACATTAAGCCAATGCTGAGAGAGTGCTGAATACTTACACTTTGATTTATGTTTTCCCCTGTGGTGTCGAGTGACATCAGATGGTGCTTTCAGTAAGCACCAGGAATTTTCACCAGGCCAGCTCATGAAGTGGGGAGAGAAGTACACCATACATGACTGATGGTTGGTTTTGATTTTCCCATAAGCAAAGTCCAAGCTGGAGTTTACATGCCAATTCTATGAAGGTGCTGAGCAACCACAACTCCCACTGAGCAGCCATTCAGCACTCCTCAGCATCTGGCACGCTAGAATTTGCATGAATAAACAGTATAAGGATCTCAGAGCTGAGCTTGATGAGTTGTTCCAAAGTTGCAAATATTCAGCATCTTTCAGTATTTGCTTCCTTAAGCAGCGCTCTACTTAAATCTGTATAAGGTTCTTGTAAAAGGGTGTGGAGACAAGGAAAGAAGTCAGTGGGATGCTTTGTCATAACATTTTCATTTACTAGGTCCCAGCAGTTATCCTATTTATGCTGGGGAAAATAGGTAGACTATGCCTTTTAGATATTTGAAATACAATGAAGTCTACACATTGTTTTCTGCTTTACCAGCACTAACCTCCGTAGCCTTTAGGTACAAAGGCTGGGATCTGTATTGACAAATTTTAGTCATCCAGAAACAAGATATCCACTCAAGCAAACTCTATTCATCCTCTCTAATGGGAGTGATTAGAGAAAGGCACAACAAGAGGGTGATTTTTCCCATCCTCAAAGAAGTGGATTGCCCTCTGGAGGTACCTGATTCTTTCTACTGACTCTACAGACACTCTGGGTGACTGGGTTAGACTAGATCTGGCTTTTAAGCAATTACACAAGGAAGATTCCAGCCAAGGATTTCAGGATATCAAAAAACTCCTTGAAAGGAATTAATAACTTTGACTGCAGTTTACAAGATCACAAACTCTTAAATTTAGGAATTGGGGAGGAAAGGTGAAGGGCTGAATGACTTCACAGTCCACTTTAATGCAGATGGATGAGGTGGTTGCAACCTACACAAATGTTTTCTGGAGCAGCAATCCTAACCAAAAGCAGGTTCTGCCCCTTGGGTCCCCGTTCACCTCTTCCTGCTTTGGTTCCATGGTTCACTGCCCATTTGCATTGCTGCAGCTCTTTGAAGGGCTGTGCTAAGAATGGGAATGTCACTGGAACAACGTCAATTTTTTGGTAGGTTTTTTTGAGGTGAAGGAAGATATTTTTAAACCTGGATCATTTGAATGATTTGATTTCAGCACAGCTCAACAAACAGTTGCCTCAGCACAAATGCCCTGTAAGCAGTGGCATCTGGGCAGCAATAAGAGGCAGGACCATTTGGCAAGAAAACTCCTGAATCACTTTTGCTGCCAGGGGAAAAAATGGATCCACACCCTTAGAGGCACATGAACTACCCAGTGCCTTTGCACCTCCTCTTTATCCAGCAGGAGAGCAAGAGTGGGAAATTGTTAGGAAGTGTGGGTCTCGGAGAGAGAAGCAGTGAAAATAGAGGTTTCTGGCTTCCAGGGTTTCTGTAGCCTCAGAAAATGAGCTAGAAATTAAATTTCATTCCCATTTTTAGCTGGCTTGTTTAGAAACAACCCCCAGTGTTGACAAGAACGGGCATGATTAAAAAATGCTAGCTGGTTGCAAAGCAATCACATAATCTGTAGACT